CGAGCTAAGGGCTCCATTGAAAACAAGCTGAAGACAAGCTAGAGACAAGGCAATCCTTAAACTATACATGTATAGACGAAAATTGTGTACCGAATCTGAGTTGTAATTGGGACCACACCTTGTGTTCAGCTATTGGGTTTTGAACCTTCGATCAAAACTAAATAGCTGAGGGGTTACTGTTGAGGGTGTATTATACGTTGGTGACCCCACTATCATATTTTGGACCCAATTACATGTGCTAGGGATTACAAAATAATGTTTGGGGGCTCTTTGTAGCCTTTAATGGCATTTTTGTAGAGAGAGGAGGGGGGAGGAGTCGATCTGTTTGCCTCTCACTTTCTCTCTGCCCTTCCTACCGGATCCCATACCGGTCTGAACATCCTGGATCGCGGAGTAGGCGGCGCCAGCTCGTGCAGACGAGGGAGGCACGGAGGAAGCAGGCGGGGTGCGGCGGGAGGCGGAGGAAGATCTCGGAGAGGAGGTCATCGTCATCCAGCGGCAGCGGCACCGGCACCAGCGGCAACAGCGACGGCGACGGCGCGTGACCTCGACGCCACCGCGGCGTGGGGATCATGCCACCCATCGCGCGGCCGTATGGGGAATTGGGGATTGCTTCGGTAGTGTGTAGTGTGATAGTTCGAAGTTACTCCTAGTAGTGGCGTGTGGCTGCCGTATGGGCTAGAGCTTATTTTTTCTATTTTTTGCTAACTTTTTCTAAAGGTTTTTGTCGTAGTGTTCTTAGCTTTGGCTAGAGGTTTGACCATTTGACTCGAGAAATGTGCAACATGTCTCTTTGTTGTATGTCCTTCAAAACTAGGATTAGAATAAACCCTATTTGTCTATAAACCTCCTTCATCCTTTTCTATTCTCCTAATAAATAAACCAAAGCTCATTTTACATTAAATTGAATAACCTCTAATTCTCTGCATTCTTCTCTAGTTACTCTCTCTATCCCATAAAAAATGACATTCTCATTTTCCTAGAAATCAAACTTTTCAGCTTTGACCAAATATATAATAGAACATTAATATTTATGGTGCATAATTAGTATCATTATATGAGCCACTGAATATATTTTAATAATAAACTTATTTGAAGATACCAATATTGCTAATATTTTCTACAAATCTAGTTAGACTTAAGAAAGTTTGACTAACATGAACCCATAGCGACACTCTTTATGGGACGAAGGGTGCATCATGAGAACTTCACCACTGCAAACGAAAAAACAGAAAACACATAGTTTTAAAAATAAAAAATAGAATATTGTTTGGATATTTTTTTGAAAACTTATTTATAGAGGTTTTTAAGTTTTAGGAGCATGATATCTTCCTGAGTCAAAACAAATTTTCTATGATTTTTATAATTAAAACAGATTTTAGTATTTTTAAATGCATATTTATTCTAGAAAAAGTATTTGGATATTTTTAAAACTTTTTATTTCTATAATGTTTTTATAAAGCCTAATTGACCTCCTCATCTACCGTGAAAGTCCAATTTATATCCCTCGTAGCTAACTTGCGTCACGTAAGACAGCTGACGTAGCGTCACGTCAGCCAAAACCTCTAAATTGGACAATTTCAATAGTTGGAGGAGTCTAAAAAACCAAATTTCTAATTAAAGGAGGTAAATCGAATTTATGCAATAGTTGAGGGATGTCAAATAGATTTTTTTCCTTTTTATTATTAAGGGATATTTGGGACTGCTCCCGCTCCTATTTTTGCAGCTCCGCTCTAGCTCTGCGTTGCAAAACATCTTCAACTCCAAGAACTACTCTCCAAGAAAAAGGTGAAGTTGGGGGGCCAACTCTACGTTTTTCTCAACTCTATATTTTTTTCTGGAGCACCTCAAAGAGTATTCCAGGATTTCGACTTTTATACTTTCTCACGAAGTTGGAGAAAATTACCAACATTTTCATTAATCCGCAGCTCCATCTGGCTCCGGTGTGCTCTCCTGCCTCTGCATCGTGCATGCCCCGCCTGGTGCCCCTCGGCATCGCCCACTTTCCGTGGCGCTAGATACCTCCGTAGCTCATCCAGTCATCTTAGCTTTTTATTAGATTATTTGAATAAGATAAGCGTCTACAATCTGAAGCAACAAATGACCTTGGCCCAAATGAGGAGCGTGCCATTTTGACATATACTAAAAAATGTGCAAAAGAGACCTTGATAATAATTTTGACTAAATTATTTGCAACTATAATATTTTGCATCATATTCAACTGTTAAAAAAACAATACCTCACATATTTATACTTACAAACGTCAAAACATATGTCAAACATCATCTAAGGGCATATTAGGCCATTCAAGAAAAAAACATCTATTTTTGGAGCTGAAGCTAGGCTGTGTACAAAACAGTATCATCTGCTCCACAAACTCCACTTTGGAGCTGCTCCATGGTAAATTAGTAGAGCTGGTGAAGCGGAGCAGCAAAAACTAGAGCGAAGCAGTCCCAAACACATCCTAAGTGGAGTAGCCTATGAAATTGCTTCCTCATCGGACAACCCACCAACCCTCGCTCTAACGACCCACCAGCCCACTTGTAGAAGCCCACAATAAAAAAAAAAACTCCCAGAGGCCCACCTCATCATTTTATACTGCCGAAAATCATGTCCATCTGGCCCTCAAGGTATTTTCTTCTTCTTCTTTTTTGTATTTTCAAATTTAATAGCAAATCGTTGTCTTCTACTTTCTCTGTCCCGTTTTAATAGTCGTTTAGTAAAGTGTCTACATTCACTGTCTCCTCCATACATACGGACACGCAACGTCCAGGTCCAAAGAATCATGGCTGCACCAGATTGAAAGCTAAAACCACCATTAAAACGGGACAGAGGGAGTATTTACGTTGGACTTCAGTGCTATTTGTTCAACATTTTGAGAAACTAGATTGAACATTGTAAAAACCTAGATCAACAGTCTAAATGACTACACTGGACTTTTTTAAACATAGGTCAACGCTGTCTTTTGACATTTTTGAAAAACTTATTTCAACATTTTGAAAGGTTATATTCAACTTTTTCAAAAACCATATTGTTTAGAATTTTTTTACACCTCATCCAACATTTTTGAAAGATGAGATTAAACATTTTTTCAAAAATTAGATCAATAATTTGGAACAACTTCACTCAACAGTTTCGAAAACTTAGACCAACATTTTGTTTGAAAATATTTAAATACTATAATTTAAACGTTGAGGTAGTATATGCAAATGCTGAACTTAAAATGTTCGAAATATTAAACTAGTGCATTCAAATAGATTAGAATACCTTGAAAAAAAAGTTTGCATTGTATCTCATTTTGCTGAATTAGATCGGGCAGTTTGGAAAACAAAACAACACTTTGCTAGATTAATTAGATTAAAGTTTGGAATCCAAACAAAACTCTCTTACCTACCCATGTCGCCTCACACGTCCAATGATCTGCGGACACACGTCCATTGTCTATTCAATATGTTTGGGGTATGTTTGGATGGATGGTCACGGTGATTAAACATCCTTGGTGCCCAAGTGTTGTGTCTAGATTCATGACGCGACTTAGTTGCCCTGGCTCTCGTGCCCACCCTTGTTTCCAACAGGACGAGCCGGTGGCAGCACCAAGTCATCTTTGGAAGCTCTCCGAAAATAGGGATCAAGGGCACACTACTGGCCACGTCCGAAGGGTGGACGTGAAGACACCTTCGGGTGGTCCAAAACCATAGACCTTCGAGATGCAGTTGAGGGCCATTCGAGTCTCATTGTGTCTGGCGAGACACAACCCTTCGGTGAGGTGTGCGAAAGCAAGAAGGTGAACGGTAGCCTAGGAAGTCAAATTTGATTTAAATTCATGTATGGACCTGCACACAAAGGACCAAAATGCCCCTACGACATTAGGAGTATGCTTAGGATCTAGCTCTGGGGTAGAGTCGTTTTTGGTCCACCTTGTGTAGCTTTGGCACTATAAATAGAGTTCCTTGAAGTAAAGCAGGCATTTGTTCTTCTTCGTTGCAAACAACTCTGATCCAATCCATTACTAACTTCACAATCATTTCATTCTTTGCACTGTCCAAAACTTTAGTCAAGGACAACAACCTCCGTTTAAGTGAAAATCCCTGGCAAATGGAAGAAGCACCCTAGTTCCTTCGCGTGGGGTCAATTCAAGGTGAGGTAGCACATGTACTGCTCGTATAGTCGCAGTGGGGCAGCTCCAGCCTACCGGTACCTGGGCCAACGGATCGCATGGGATGTTAGAAAAGGACGCCTTTAATTTGTGGCAGCTTGGCATGCAACTTCCCTCATCTCTCGAGTGAATCTTGAGCTTTGCACGCGTGCGCTCAGGGTCATGCTCTTGCTGAGGTTCAGGGTCACCCCGATCGCGCTCTTGTTCCTTGGATCCACATCCACCTGCACTGGCATATGGCAGCATGTGTCAGTCAGTGCGATGCGTCCCTGCACTGCACAGGCCCTGACCCACTCGGATTCGGCTGCCTGCGTACCGTGCGTTCAATTCGGTCGGTGTACGTGTGTGCACTGTGTACCCATCAATACTAACCCCCGACCTAGTGCATATCCAACCAAGATACAGGGCCTGCTGGCTACCCATTGTTTCTACCTTGCTCAGCTGCCAATCACGTTAAGAGGTTTACAACCTGTTCGCTGGTTGGTTTCTGAGCTGATAAGCCCGGCTGATGCTGGTTTGTTGTGAGAGGAAAATACTGTATCATGGCTGATAAGCCTTGGCTAAAACCAACAAGCGAACAGGCTGTTAGATCCTGTACAATCTTATCCCGTAGACTGGTGCGGTGCGGACAAGATTTTGGGTTGCTTGCTGCGACTAGGAGAACCAAATCAGCCCGCCATATACGGATACAGGGGCGAAGCCCAATAATGGTCTGCGGGTGCCTAGGCACACCCTCCAATTCCAGAATTTCTTAAGAGCTAGCAAATTCTGGCCATATAGGCACCCCCATGGCCCAAGACGAGGCACCCCCACCAGCCTAATAAGCCCACTGCAACACTTCCTACTAGGATCGCTTCCAGGCGAAGCGTTGCATGCGTAGCGGGCGGACTCGCGGTTTTCCTTGCTCGTAACGCCTCGCTTGCCTCGTGAGCGGCGAGTCCGAGCTGCTAAGGTGCTGCCGACGCCGGTCACGCCAAGCTGTGTGCCCCTGCTGTTGTCCCGACGCCGCCATCCGCCCGTCCCGGTGCCGCCGTTCTCTCCACACCGAGCCGAGAGCAGGGTCCGACTCGCTGGCCAGTGGCCGCCCCCGCCCTGAGCTCCTGACTGCTGTCTGCGGTCTGCCTGGCCGCCCTCTGCAGCTCTGCCAGCTGTCCCTGTCCCTCCCATTGGCCATCGCTGCCCCCTGCCGGCTACCAGTGAGTTTATCCTCAATCAAATTATTTATATGTGAAATTGTGAACTGTAATTTGATTATGCAAATGAATGAATTATAGGACATGATCGATGCTAGTAGAATTTCATGTCCAGATGAAATCAATTGGGATGAGGAGATTAAATATGACCCTGGTTTGGGAAAGAAATTGATGCTTATCATCCTAACTTGAGAGAAAAGGTGAGAAGAACTGAAGAAAGTTAGCAATGAGGCTATTGTTCGTGGTTTCATGATCATGGAATAAAAAGACGTAAATATGATCTCTAAGAGGTAATGCAAATGCAATGCATCTACTTTCAATGGATGATTGTACACTTTCTTTGCTAAATAATTGACTTGTTTGTTCTCTTTTCTTTAGGCTGGATCACATATTTTGCTATATGAGACATCTTTTGTTCATTGTTTTGGCATTCTTATAATTACTACACTACAATGTCTTTATTTTGTTATAAACAATGAGTGTTATTGCCCTTGCCCTTACCAGTTTGCTTATGTTTTGACCAAAGTCACGTTACCATTACTAGAAGTTGAATTTTGATGTTAAAAATTGTGAATTAGTTATGCTATTTGTTTGAACATAATATAAGTCATTATATTCATGATCAAATTGAGCACCTCCACCTATTTGCTCTAGCTTCGTCACCGTACGGATATGGACCAGGCCACATGAATTGAGAACCAGGTGGAATTGTGAAATCGGAAACGAAAGAAGAGCATATCGCTGGGCCTGCATGTCAAGATCTGCGTGATGACGGACGGACACTGGACACGGACGTTGGCTGCTGGCCCGCCCGCCCCGGCAGCCGGCAGCCGCCACCAAGGCACCAACCCCCGCGCGTGGGTAGGGCAAGGGGGTGTTTGACTAAAGTTTAGCGGATGTTATATTAGGTATTCGATACTAATTAGAAAGATTAAACATAAGTCTAATTAGATTTAATAGATTCATCTCATAAATTAATCTTAATTTTTATAATTAATTTTATAATTAGTCTATATTTAATACTCTGTGATTAAATATTCTACACTAAATTTTAGTAGAAAAGAACCAAACACCTCTAAATCAAAACTAAATCAAAGGCCGTAGGCCGAGGAAAGAAAGACGTGAGTGAAAGATGCTGTCGGCGTAGGCTGAGGAAAGAAAGAGACGTGAGTGAAAGATGCTGTCGGCGTAGGCTGAGGAAAGAAAGACGTGAGTGAAAGATGCTGTCGGTCTGACGCCAAATAATGATGGGGATGGGATGGGCTCGTTGCCGCGCCTTCCAACCTTGCGTTGCCGCGCTAATCCATCGCCTCTTCACCTCTCAATGTATTCACTCTGAAAAAAAAAAAGTAATTATAGAATCCGTATCAAGTTTTACTAAATGTATAGTAAGTAGTATTACGCCGTGTTTAGTTGGACCCCAAAGTTCAAAAAGTTGCTACAGTACCTGTCACATCGAATGTTTGCGGCCCGTGTATGGAGTATTAAATGTAGACGAAAATAAAAACTAATTGCACAGTTTGGTGGGAAATTGCGAGACAAACGTTTTGAGCCTAATTAGTCCATGTTTGAACACTATTTGCCAAATAAAAACGAACGTGCTACAGTAGCCCAAAAAATCCAAATTCACCCAACTAAACAAGGGCTTAATATTTATATCTCCAAGTAAATTTATTATGAAAATATATTCTATGACTAATCTAATGATATTAATTTTGCATCTGAAATGTTATTATTTTTTTATATAATTTTGATCAAAATATAAATTGATTGACTTCTCGGGAAGCGAAAATTGTATTCTTTTGTTGATGGAGGGAGTACTAACAGCTCTGCTCATTATTATTCTTAACAGTAACAGCTCTGGTCGACCATCTCTTGGACGCACAAGATTCTTACTGTAGTAGTTAGGATTTGACAAGTGAATTACCGTACCGCCAACATGACAGACAACAACCTGACCCTGATCCTGATGGTGATGGATGAAACCAGCAGATCCCAAGCAAATTCTTCACTCCCTCACGAAACCAGAATCCGGAATGAAGCAAGGCAGCAGAGTACTAGCAGACTGCAGGCCACGTGAAAACTGATTTACGTACCTAGTACATATACCTAGTACGGAGTACTTTGCCCTCTCAAAAAAAAAGGAGTACTTTGTACGAGCAAAGTTGTAACTGGAGTGCGCTCTCTAAGAAGTAGGAGTACTATGTACTAGGCATGTGAAATACTCCATTTTTCCTTCTCAGGAAGGTCGAGCTTTGTGTGTGTGTGCGCGCGAGGTGTGTGTGTGTGTGTGGTGGTGGTGTGTGTTTGTATCTGAATATTCTAAACTTAGACGAGAGGCTAAAAAAAAGAAAAGTCAAGCTTTATTGAAATTAAACAGGGTTACAAACTGCTAGCACAATAGGGCCTGCAAAGTCCGGGGCGCTACGCAGCCAAACTGCTGAAGAGTACCTGCAACCGTACACCAGTTTGCTACCTCACGTGTGGTACCCTATTCAAATTTAAATTTAAATTCCTCTTATAATGATTAAACTCAACCATCCCGAGCTTAGTTGCGAGCAATTTGACATCCTTAGCTGCAAGTGCCAACTGGGACCTGTCCACCGCCTCTAACTTCCTCCACGCTGCTGCATTTAGAGCAAACCCTCTTTTTTCCGATAATTTTATCAATCAAAAAAAGACAAGGGGCAACATATACAACAATAAATTCCAACATCACGACAACAACAAAACTCTCGTAACTGTCACATGAAGGTAAACGACGGCTACCCTTTTCAGTGGCGTCCAGGACTTTTGCCGACGGCATCTAATTTCGGTCTTGCCTTTAGCATCAGCTAGCTGTTGTGAGACTCGCGTCAGGAAACCAAGAAACTCTCTAGGAACCAGACGGAGCCTTGATCTGGTTTCGATCAAACCATAACCTCCAAAGCAGCAAAAGGATATACTCTTTAACTTCCGCAGTATAGTTAACAACAATAACATAAGCCAATTGGGACCGCATGCAAGAACCCTGTCAAGTTAACCTATCTAAACTAAGTGTCATCCTTTTTCACCAACCCGACTTAAGCAAATTAAGCTTCGTAATTCCTAGAGCGGCATCCGCACACTCCACTAGCGCAAAACCACATGATCCGGTTATGATTGCACAACACATTATTAAGCCATTCAAAGCAATATTTCTACCCCGGGAGAAATATCTTGGAGGGTGTTGGTATCTTGCATGAAAACTTACACGAATTACATATTAAGGAGCAAAATTGGGCTATTTTTAAGATAGATTTTGCAAAAATGTATGATAAGATAAAAATGGAGTTTTGTTTACAACAAGCGCCTCGAATTGAAGGCTTTGACCTGGTGTGGTGTGAGCGGGTTAAGGCTTTTGTTCAAGGTGGTAACATGAGTATTAAAGGTAAGCGAGCAGTTGGGCCCATTCTAACATACCAAAAAAGGGCTTAGGCATTATCTTGTCCAGAGCTAAAAAGGAAAGCTAGGTTGATGAGGTTATTTCACCTTATAAAGAAGGGATTATTACACACCTAGTAGAAGATGACTTGTCTATCTTTGGAGTATGGAAATGATACAGTTACTTTGATGGACCACGATATTAAAAACGACTATTTTGCACCTTTGAGCAATTATCAAGTTTGAAAAACAACTTTCATAGAATTGAAATCTTCTTCTTTGGTAAAGCGAAGGAATTTGAGGATCAATACTCACTTCTCTTCGGTTGCATAATGGAACATTAAACCTTTAGGGGCTGTTTGGATCCCTTCATTTTAGAGGTATTAGAATCTACTTATTGGATTAGGCTATTTTGCTTGAAATTTGGCATTCCATAATTTTTCCAAGCTCACAAATAAGCCTATCTCAAATTCATAGGGTGGGAGATGGAAATTGATTCTATAGATCGCAATGCTATATTTCTAATATCCAACTTATAGCATACTCTTTAACTCACTTTCCTACAATAGAAATACAACATATAAAGTATGTCTTTTGTATGGCTAACAATAATATATAAATATATTTCATATGCAACCATACTAACTTGATTAATCTATGACTAAATTATAATTATTAAAATGAATTCAATTCCAAGGATCCAAACGGGCCCAGGTATTTGGATATTCCAATGCGCTTTAGGAAGTTACTCCACAAAACAAGGACCCGGAAGGCAATGGAGTTACACATTGAGAAAAAGCTAAGCGGTTGGAAGGGAACACACTTTAATCCTATATATAAGAGTAGACCGGTGCAAATCAATTAAAAATATAATTCATGTTAATTTTTTAAAGTCTCGATGGGAGTACTTAAAAAGTTTGAATGCTTTATATCAAGATTTTTATGGCAAAAATGATCAGCTTAAGAAGAAATATAGACTAGCCAAACGGAACATGTTGTGCTAGACAAAATAACAAGAAGGTTTAGAGGCATTCAAAATCTAGATGTGCAAAATAAATGTCTTCGAAGCAAATGGCTTTCAAACTTTGTAATGAGTAAGGAATATGGCAAGATCTCCTTAGGAACAACTATTTATGTAACCAAACACAGTTCGAACTAGGATTTCTCAATTCTGGACAGGGCTTGCTTATGGTGTCAAAGACCAGTTTTTTAATTTGGGAAAAATTCAAAGTAAACAGTGATTCCCAAATTAGATTTTGCAAGGATTAGGCCCTGAGTCAATTTGTTGTGCACTTTCACAACGGAACACAAGGATGATGGCCGGAGTGGGAGGAGGTAAAGCAGAGACATGGTGGGGACGCGACTGGGAAAAAGGACCTGCCTGACGGAGGAGAGGACCATGCCATGCGGCGATGCCCAGCAACAGCAGGCACCACCAGTGCACCACATCGCAGCAGGTCACAACAAATGTCCTTTCGCCTCATTGGAAAGCAGCAGTGGGCGGGTGGGCCTACGTGTTTGTGGCCTCGGCACCCGCGCCCTCACATCACATGTTGCGGACCACACCTTCACTGCTCCG